ATAAAATAGTCATCTGTAGCGGATGGGTGCGGAAAAGCCTCCGGCAGACACGCTTCAGCTCGTGATCCTGGGGAGGAGGCAGGGGAGGGGGCAGGCTCTCCACAGGGGACTCGTCTTTGTGTGAGGGGTGGAGGAAGGTCAGGGAAGAGGAAGAGGGATGTTGCAAGGATCAAGTACACTCCGGGTGGCTCTGGGACGTCCGCGTAGTGATGGGAAGGGACGAGGGTTCAAGCTGCAGGTCCTGTTTATGGATGGCCTCTACCAGGGGTAGATCCTGCTGCCAGCTGGCTCTAGGCAGGCGGTGGAGCTATGCATGCGACACAGGAGGGATGGTACATGCGGGCATGCCACAGACACGGTGCTTCCCTGGGAACTGGGGCGCTCCAGAGCCTACCTGGGATGTGGAAATGCTTGGGCGCTTGGTATGAGGTTGGAGTGGAGGACCTCACATCTAACTGGCTATAGTAGGGGGAGCTGCGCCCGCTCTCGGTGCCTACGCGGTGCCGAGCAGAAGCAGCCGTAAGTGACCGAGAGAGAGAACAAGAGGCAAAAGAAAACGGGTGTTAAATGCAGAGGTGTTAGAAGAGCCGGGGGCGACCCATGTGGTGGGGGTGACGGGGATGTGCGCCAGGCTGTGGTCCAGGATGGGGCGTGATGGAGCAGGGGAAGACTTCCTGCATCTCTGGAAGAAGGCGGGATGCAGAGGAAACCCTGTGTGCAGGTGCAGTTACAGGGCAGCAGGTTGCCCTGCCACTGGTGAGAGGAAAGCCGAGCGTGCTGCAGAGGCAAACGGTGATGGGCCCTTGGCGGTGCAGCGTGCAGGTAGCTTGGAAATGTGGGACCTCTGGAATTACTGACCTCAGATTTTCCTAGTCATTCCTCCCCAGCTCCGAAGGACAGGAGACATGGCACAGACACACTCTGCTGCCCCCTCAACACGCTCCAGGGCGTACACATGTGTGTGTGTTAAGGACCCCCCTTGCAGCACTGGCTGGGCACAAGCACTCTCATGCACACCCCTCCCAGAGCTACCAAGCCAGCTGAGGGCTTTTCACTGGACCTGGGGGTCACCTCTCTCCCCACCCCATCCTCCATGAGCCCCAGCTCAGGTCTGAGCCAGGACAAAGCCCCCTTGGCCTCTCCTCACTGCTCGCGAGACAAGAGTCAGGGGAACCAGGGGATACACACAGCAGAGTTGGTCACTGCCCCACAGCTCCTGTTGCTGTCAGCCCCCCGCGGACCCCCCAGGCCTCCTGCTTGCTTGCCAGAGGAGAGACCACTGAGGTTCCCTGGGAGAAGCAGGGGACAGTTTGGTGATCGCTGTTCCACTCGGGGGTCTGAGCTTAGCCCAGCCTGGGGTTGCAGCTGAAATCCTCACCTGAGCGGTAGAAATGGTGGGGGGACCTTGGGATGGTGGGGGACATGCCCTGGCGGCTGTAGGGGGGGGAGTCAATGTAGCCAGGGCTGGAGGCTCGCCTCTGCCGCATGTCAAAGCTCTCATAGATGTCCTGGGGACGAGGAAAGGCATGGAGAGAAGCGGCGTTAGAGCTGGTGGGATGAGGCAGGTCAGTGCCTCAGCAGCCCTGCAGAGAGGTGTCCCCCCGACGGGGGTCCTCATGCTCGAGGCAGCCTGGGAGGATGCATGCCGGGCAGCGTGCGTGTCCTCTGCGGCTGGAGGGGGCCCCCAGGCTGCTCTGCCTCCCTGCTGCCAAAGTGCAGGCAGCGAAGCCCAGGGTTTGGGGCTAGGTGACAGTGTCCGGCCAGAGGCTTTCACCCCCTTGCCTGGAGATCGCTCCCTTCCCCTGATCTTGTTCCCAATTACTGGCATCACCCTCCACAGGGCAGAAGCTGCACCCTGGGTCTGCTCTGCCAGGGAGGGCTTGCACACTGCTCTCCCCAAGGCCCGACGGACAGGACCCTGCTGGACAGGGCCCCCCTGTCTCCCCCCACCTCGGGGCAGCACCCAGGCCAGGGCACGTTCAGCAGAGACCCAGCAGTCCCTGGGCAGAGGGATGCCCTGCGGCAGCAGCAGGTGACAGACCCCCCGGTGCCCGCTGGGGGCATTACCTGCGAGTACGGGGAGAGGGTCCCCAGGGACTGGAGGCAGCAGAAGGCAAAGGGGGAGGAGAGAGAGAGAGACAGCACATGGTTAAGGGGAGCAGTGACAGAGTGGGGTCCCACAGCAGCTCATTTTCCCCATGTTACAACCTCATCACAGCTGCCAGGCAGCAAGGGCGGCTGGTGGCACAGCCAGAGCTGAACTGGCAGGAGACCAGGCAGGGAGCCCCCGGCCAGGAGGGGAGCTGGTGTGAGGATGGCACCTCCTGAATCAGCAGCTTGCACCCCTTCTCAGAGACCTCGGTGGAGAGGCTGCAAGGGGGGAAGGCAGCTGCTGGCCCCACAGTGCTGCACAGCGGGGCCATGGCCATGCTGCCTGCACCATCACCGGGTGGGCTGGAGGAAACCAGACTTGTGACAAGCCTTGGGACTGGAGATGTAAGAGGTGCTGCTGCTGGCCATTACAAAGTCCTCTTCCAGGACCACCTCAGGTCCCGCATCTCTGTGTGAGCTGTTCAGACCCTCTTCTTCCATGGACTTACTGAAATCACCCAGCAGCCCCAGCCTGCCTGGGGGAGCAGGGCAGGACAGTCCTGTGCCATGTGCTGCTTGGGCATCATCTCATCACACGCTTGCAAAAACGCATGGACCAAGCCCTCTTCCCCTGGCTGCGGGGTCAGCACCCAACAGGGGCAGCCCTGCTGTGCTCCAGAGACACCATGCTGGGGCTGGGTGCCCAGGAGGATTGCCTGCCAGGGGCCAGGCTTTGGGCTGAGCCTGCTGGCCATCTGTCCCTCCACCCCAGAGGCTGCGATGAGTGAGCTCCCTGCCACATCACTCCCAAGGGTGACGTCTCCTCACACGCAGCGCTGTCTGTCCCTGCACATCAGGTCTGCGGCACAGTGTGGGCAGGGCGCTGCCATCAGCTGATAAGATCACTGGTTTCTTTCTTACTCTACAGCAGCAGCACCAAGATTTCCCTTCCAGCCCAGGCCCTCTTCTTCACAGGGAGCCTCTGGGAGAGGTCTTACCCCTGCTCCTGCCTCCCTGCAGTATTCCCGCTGGAGTGAGAGAACCCACATGCAGTTTCCCCCATTGCCCCAAACCACGGTCTGTCTCCCTGCGCAGCCTGGCATTGGGCGTATCAAGACTCAATACCTCCCCATAGCTATATCTCTCCAGCGTCTCATCCGACGTGTATCTGTGATAGGGCTCGTAGGAAATGAGGTCAGGACGCTGCACTTCATAGATGGCTTTAATCTTGGGGAGAGCTGCCAGGTCTTTGTAATTAAGGATCTCATTATCCACTTTAGCCTAGGGAGAGGGAGAGACAGAGACAGAGAGACAGAAAGGAAGAGGAAGAGAGAAGGAAGCAGAGGCTGGAGCGCACAGTGCGGAGCCAGCACAGAGCAGACAGAGCCCACCATCACCCCAGCAGGAGGAACTGGTAAGAGGAGATGCCTGAGGCAGCAGCAGGAAGGGGCAGAGGAGCTGGGAGGGTGGGACTATGCGCCTCCAAGTGCTCCTGGTCTGTGCCAACGGCACTGGTGGCACAGCGTGCCGCTGGGGCAAGGGGGCACGGCTTGTCCGTGCTGTCCCCAAACGCTGGGCTTGTCCCCAGGGGATGCCTCGCACTGCACAGCAGCACTGGGAACTGCGGCTCCCTTCCCTGGGGCCGGAGCATCTGCTCTCCCTGTGCAGATGAGGGGCAGAGCTGTACTTACGCAGATGACACGGTTCGGGGAGCCGATGCTGGAACCAGGGGGTGAGATGGAGGTTTCTGACGTCCTTCTGTGCTGTGGAGGCAGAAAAGCGGAGGACAGGTGAGAGCACAGTGAGGAGGGACCACTGAGCAGGCACAATACTGGGCGCAACAAGCAAATCGTTGGTTTTGGAGCTGAATTTCACTTAAGGTTCCTCTGCCCTTTCATCTGCTTGCTGCTGGTTCCCATAGCCGTTGCAGGCTGCCCTGCTGCCCAGCTTTGCGCCCTGGCCTCTCTCGGGGCCAGATCCGGAGTCAGGCGAGTGGCCTGGCAAGACCCAGCGGGCAGCTGTCCCCATGGCCAGACGGGCGCAAAGAGGGAGCAATAGCTCGAGGGGTGCAGGGGGTTGGTGAGGGGACTGCTATGCCCCCTCCCCGGCTGTGCCATGGGCTGGTGCCAGCCAGCAGGCAGGCCCCTGACAACAGCCCTGGCCACGGCCACCCGCCGTCCTCCGGGCAGCGGGGACAGAGCTTGTGCCAGCCTCGGGAAGCCACCCCGGGCTCGGACACTGCCACAGCAGCTCACCTGCAGCAGGGACTCAGGGGCAACATCACCTGGGACGTGCCACCTCTCAGAGATGCCCCTCACCCTGCTGCCTACCTTTAGCTTCTTCTCTGCTCTGGCTGCCTGCTTGCAGATTGGGTGCCACACTTCAGAGCCTGCAATGCAGCAAAAGGAAAGTGTTTCAGCTCCATGCACAGCTCACCCCTGCTGCTAGGGATCATCCAGCTCCCCCTGCCATGGGGGAGTCCTGTCCTGTCCCTGCTGCCTCCAGCACTGACCTGCAGCCCACGGTCCCCCGGGGACCACATATCAGTGCTCTCCCTAGCAGCAGCTGCACTGAGCAACCGGTGTTATAGAAGTGCAGCCCCCGCATGCTGGGGGGGCAGATCCTGGGGGGCCCTGCAGGGGCAGGAGGTAGGAACCGGAGTCTCTCCATGGGGAGCAAAGCAGGAGGGAGGTGGTGAGCCCCGAGGATGCACAGGAGTGGGGGGGTCACCGGCTGGGTCCCACCGGCTTTCCCAGGTGCCTTCTCCACTACAGCGTGGCCATAGGCATGCGCCCATTGGGAAGGCAGGGCAGTGGGGACTGGGTGTTCGTACTAAGAAACTAAACAGCTCCCAAGCACTGAGATGTAGTGGCCAACTAAACTGTGACAGCAAACCCAGGTGTGTTTTTGGTGCAGCCCAACCAGTGCTCAGCCAGGCAGCTCCTGCTGGTTGAACTCGGGGTAACACTGAGCCCGGGCATGCACAGCCCCTTGCACGCCTTCTGGGCTGGAACCAGCAAAGCTGCTGAGCTTTGCCCAGGCGTGCCCTGGGATGGATGCTGAGCGCACCCATCCTGCTGCCCATGACGGGCCTTGCTGGGACCCCCACTCTGGCTCTCTCAGTGTACAATTCCCCCTTTGCCACCCACGGGGTCATTAGTGACTCAGGGTGACCGGCAAGTGCAGGTTACAAAGAGAAAACAAACCCTCCCTCTGCACTGTAAATAGCCCCTAAGGCAGCTTCAGGCAGGGATGAGCTTGCCAAAACCAAACCCAAACCATCCAGCTGTGCCAAGCGAAAGCCTTACCCCTCCAGTGTTGCTCACAGTGTCACCTGGACAGGGGGAGTTGGGGGCAGCAGGGAAGGGGTCCTCGACCACCTCCCCTGGTGCTGGAGAGAGCCGGAAGCCGGTCACCCTGCAGCCATCCCAGCCTCTATTTGCTGGGCGCAGGCCAGGGACACATCCAGGCATGCCCAACAGCACTCCCCAGCTGTGCAGGGAGACTCACAGGGAGCAAAAAGCTGCCGACAAGGAACAAAGTCTCCTCCAGCTCAGCAGCAGGGAAGTTTTCATGGAGAGAAATGATTGCCACATGGCCCAGGAAGAGCACAGGGGCTGAAGAGCAGTGGAGAGGGGTCTCTGGCATTGCTGGTGGGTACTGGGACTCTGCTGTGCAGAGAGACCCTTTTGGCTTTGATGGTCATAAGGACCCGAACCCCAAACGCCCCCACAGGCAGCACACCTCCACACAAGTCATGCTGGTCTGCCCCACTCGAGTCCATGCTCCAATGTGGGACAGGGGAGTCCCTCCTCACCACAGCAGGATCCCTACCTGTGAGGTACATCTCCTCCCCTTCCGTGAACATCTGGTGGCAGCGGACACATCTGGCACAGGTGGGGTGGTAGTGCTTCCCTCCTGCCTGCAAGGGCGAGCAGAGAAGAAGGGCCCCTGAGCAAGGCAGGACATGGCGACCTGCTCACACCCACAGCAGCCCTCTCTGCTGCAGACAATGACGAGGTCAATGTGACAAAACTGCTCAGAGCGGCCTTGGAGACCACTGCAGTGTACAGGGAAAACCAGAGACCACTTTGCTAATGTTTCTGCAGGACTACAAGCTGGACTGGGACCCTTCTGCTCTCCCTGAACTGTCCAACACACAGGAAAGCAGAGCTAGGAGGTCCCAAACAAGGTACCCCTACAAACCTCACCCCTAATAAATTGTCCTTGGACTCTGGAAATAACCAAGACCCCCTTCAGCAACGCTCAGCCAAGCAGTCATGCTTTACACCTGCTCTTTACCTCTACAGGTGCGAAGAGAAACAGTAAATCTGTCCCAGGATGTCACAGCAAGGAAACAGTAAAGAGAGAAGAAAGGCCCAACATACAAACCTTGCAAAGCACAGGCTTCCTCTTGCTGTCAGATCTCCCTGACTACCATTGCCAGCCCATCTCCCTAAAGAAACTTTTCTCCTTCTGTGAAGCTGTGCCCAAACTTCAGTGCTAGCGACATGCTATTCCCCAGCTGAGCAGAAGCCGGGCTGCTCCCTTTACTCTTTGGCAGGGATAATAGCTTTAACTGGTAGCTTGTTTCCACTCAAAGTGTCTGCTAGCATTTCAATTATAGGCTTGTTTTCTGGCCTGGGAGCTGGTAGGCAGGGGCTGGCTCAGGGCAGGAATCTGGGCTGCACTGTTAGAGCTCGACCCCAAAGGACATTTTACTCCCATAATAATTCAAGAGAAGAGGAAGGATAATTCAAGGCAGCAGAAGGAAGATGAGGCTCTGACTGACAAAGGAGAGGGTTATGATAGAGGGGGCTGGAGCCGGTTTGAAACAGGGAGGATCAACAGGAAAATTTGCTGCAAGGATAACTGAGATCTGCCAGTTGATTGCCCATAAAAATCAACCTGGAACTCAATGTCTTTGGGGTGCAGACAGCAGCCAGTGGCTTTTTCCCTTCAGTTTACGCCAAAAATTAATGGAGGTTTTAGGGCAGGCCAGGGGAGATGAGTGTGAGAGTTTGTACCCCTCTTCCTTTCACTGTAGTGCACTTCAATCCAGGGAGGGGACAGCCCTGCGCCTCAGACACCTCCTCATGCCAGCTGGCAGCAGCACAACGTACTCCTGGGCTGGCCCAAGTGAGCCCACAGCCCAAACATCCCCAGTTCACACCCAAAAGCTTGGTAACATGGCAGGAAGGTCCCCAGTGGGAGGGCTGCAGACTCAAACACACTGTGAATGCAGATGAGCAGCAAGGAAGGCCCCAGCCCTGGTCCCCCAAGCCCTCCGGTGGGACGGGAAAGGTCCCCACGGCAGCCCCAACAAGCAGCCACCCTGAGCCCTGGCCCACCCGCAGCGCCCCATGGCAGGGGCTTGCATTGAACGCTTTGCCAGCCGGTTCCAGGCTATACAGATCCTAAACCAACTTTACCCCTAAAAGCCTTGTCCAGAGCCCTCGGTATCAAATCATGCCCATGGGCTCATTGAGTCTCATGCCCGTTGCTCCAGGGAGGCGGCCCACCAGTCCTGCCAAGGCAGAGGCTCCCTAAGGATGGCCGGTTCCTCCTGCTCTGCCCGAGCCTGGGGCACAAAGCCCTGCCTGGGCAGCTGCCCGCTGCAGCACCACGCCAGCACCCCCCACAGCAGGCACCCACCAGCCAGCACTGCGCACCCAGGGCAGGCACGCTGAGCTGCGTCAGTCAGAGGAGACGGCTGTAAACACAGGGAAAAGAGATGAAAAACAACCCAGCTCCTAAACACTTCAGGCTAGTGTGCCTGCAGTTCCCCTCACTTGATTTCCAGCTGACTAGAGACAGCTAACGCTGGGGACACGGGGCCCTGATGACCGATGTGCCGCCTCCCCCAGTCCTCTGAATCTGGGATGGGTTTGGTTCTCTTAGACCCTCTTAGTACCACCCCCAATGGCTTGGTGTGCTGACAGTAAGGAAAAGAAAAAAAAAAAAAAAAACAACCTTTTCCTATCTAGACTATATGGGCTGCTGTCACAGGTCAGACCATGCTGGAAGGGGACGCTTTGCAGATCTGGGGGCGTAGGCGTGGAAGGAGGCTGGCTGCTCCCCCGGGGGCATGTACCAGCTCAGTCCCGACTTTAATTTCAACACAGATCTTCTCCAAAAACACCCAACACCTCAACACCCCCACTCCCCCTTGAGGAGCAACTCTCCAAACTGTGCACAAACCTTGCTCCTTTTATATTGGTTAAAATTACAGCTTGTAAAAGGCCGGTAGAGGCTGCAAGGGAAGAGACCTGCTCATTATCACTTGCAGTCCCTTAAAGACTCATTAATCATCCAAGCCTGGCTGCACAGCTTGGAGTGGTTGGGAAAGCCCGGAGGCTGCCGGGATAGCACAAGAAAACTCCTTAAGGCCTAAAATTATTTAAAGGCGCCCTTTCCATTTTGCGCTCCACTGGAGAAGACAATTAAAGCCTCTGCTTTCACAAGAGATCATTCCATACTGCAAGCAGGCACGTGCCCAGGGAGGGTGGGGAGCACAGGCTGAGCCCTGGCTGCGGGGAGGTAAGGGGTGCTCTGACGTCCTCGAGCGGCACAGCCCCCCGGCACCCAAACCCTATGCTCCTCGTGGCTCCATGACAGTGCCTGTGAGGAGGCGGCACCTCAGCTCTGCCTGCGGGCACCCCAGCACTGAGGCACATTACTTCCAGCCCACCAGAGTCTCGTCACGCAAGGGCTCCTGTGCCCAGGCATGGGCGCGGCAGGCAAGGTGCTAATGCAAGATGATGGCCCTTCAGAGCATCTGGTGGGATTCAGCCAGCATCTTCCCACGGCCCAGCAGAGCTGGCCAGCCACTGCAGCCAGGGAGAGCTGATGCTGGGAGCAGAGCCTAGGGTGGAGGACAAAGCAGGAGGGAAGGTAGAGCTAATGCTGGGAGAACAACTGGGGGAGATAGAGGCGAGGGAGAGCAGGGAAGGCGGCCTCCTTGCCACGGCCCCGGCTTGCAGGCTGGCTGCCACCACCCGCACGCCTGTCACGCCTGGCAGAACTGCTCTTTGTCCGTCCCCTCAGACATGCAGCAGCAGCAACATCCTGTGCTCATCCTGACTCCACTGTGGTTGCGCCAAATAAAGAAACCTCCGAGAGTGGTGCAGTGAGGAGGCAGCGGTGCCTGAGGGTGCTGGCTGGCAACACAGCCTCTGAGCTCAGGGCAGGGGTCCCAAATCCTCTCTGGCTCCGCTCACCTGCCTTCATACACTGAACATCCCACACCACCAACGCCCAGCCTGCTTGCCCTGCTGGGGTGGCTGAGGATGCTCATGTCCTGGCAGGGGGTTATCAGGGACCAGACTGCCCAGGGAAGGAACAGCAGGGATTTGACCTCAGGGGACCCTCTGGCTTCACCCTGCTCTGCTCAGACATTTGCTAATGAAGTGGCCCCGTGATGGGCAG